TTTGCAATATTTCATTTCATCCAAAATTTATCATTTGACACAATTTTCAGCTTGTCTAAGCTTTTTTTTTTTTTTTTTATCTATGCTAGCATCAATAAATAGTTTGGTCGATAATCACATTTCACATTTTAGTTGAACAAAACTTTATTCAAGAATAACTTTTATTGAAAATAGTAAAAATTAGAGAGAGAGAGAGAGGGAGAGAGAGAGAAAAAAAAGGACAGCAAAAAGATACAATTAGAAATAAAGGAGAAAGAAAAAGAAATAACAGTCAATATGAATTTTAATAAATTAAATTCTTGAACTATTTTTTTTTTCTTTTCATTTTGTCATAAACAATTTTTTGTTTAATCGAATTTCAGTGCTACAGCAAGAAGGATCGAACTATCGATCGATTTCATTGTACTTCCAAATTAGTAAACAAAAATATTTTATTGTCAAAAAAATCGATGCGAGCAAATTTATGCAAAGCAATGTAAATCGTTTATAAAATATATCAAAACAAATGAAAGACAAATGCATTTCCGTTTTGAACTAAATTAAAGTTATTGTAAAATTTATATTTAGTAATTTTCTAATTACAGTTTTATTTCTAACTTATAAAATTTATATTTAGTAATTCTCTAATTACAGTTTTATTTCTAACTGATAAAATTTATATTTAGTAATTCTCTAATTACAGTTTTATTTCTAACTGATAAAATTTATATTTAGTAATTCTCTAATTACAGTTTTATTTCTATCTTATAAAATTTATATTTAGTAATTCTCTAATTACAGTTTTATTTCTATCTTATAAAATTTATATTTAGTAATTCTCTAATTACAGTTTTATTTCTATCTTATAAAATTTATATTTAGTAATTCTCTAATTACAGTTTTATTTCTATCTTTTGAATTTGTGAATAAAAAATTTATTTTATCATAGTTAGATGACGATTTAAAAACTTGCTTTAATTTGTTAAAAAATGAAAAAAATTTTATTACTAATTAAATAATTTAAATTTTTATATTCAAAATTTTGCTAATTTTAAACAAAAAAAAAAAAAGGAAAAAATTAAGCAGAAAAATTCAAATCTACTTTAATTTACAATCAAAAAATTCAATGATAAAATAATATCACAATTACTGGATTATTGGATAACATTCCGATTTCAATATTCAATTAATTTTCAAAAATATTTAGAACGTTTTTTCTTTTTTTCAATATACTATAAAATGTCTTTTTGTTTATTATATAATTTATATTAAATATTTTTATTTTAACATTATTCATACAAAATCTATTTTTGTCACATTTAATTTTTTTTTTTTTTGTTTTCTTGTTATATTTTAATTTTATCTTTCTCATTATATATTTGACATCTAAAAATTACTAGCACATTTGCAATTGGTCTTTTTTCTCTCTTCTTTTTAATCCATCTTATCTTCCCATCATTTTATTTGTCTATTCAAATTTAAAGAGAACAAAAAAAAAATAATAATAATAAATAAAGAAAATTCACATAATTCACAGCTACAGCATTCATTTATTCTAACGTTATTTGAAATTTGATGATGAATTTGCTAAATAACATTCAATCTTTCTTTCCCTTTCTTTTTTCTCTCTCTCTCTCTCTCTTTATCATTTCCTTCTTTTCTGCTATTTTTTTGCTTTATCTAAGAATATTTACCTAACAAAAATTACAATTAACTATTTGGAAAATTCTAGAAAATGATGATTGAACAAAGATTTGCCCTGTGACCATAAATGAAAAGGGTCATGACCTTTTTTGTTTATAGTTATATCGAAATATTGTCACCTAGAAATTTGTCATATAGCTAACTGATTTTAACACGGAAAATAATAAACGACAGAAAGTTGAAGTAAAATATTTTTGGTACTAACTTTTTTAATCTTAGTGAACAAAATTATTAGTTAAAATGTTAAAAAATCAACAATTTATTCTTTCAACTGCCAACTATCAAACAGACAGTAAAATTTCTCTTTCCTTAATCAAAGAAAGTTACTGTTAAATTTCATGTAAACTGATTGGAAGGAATAGAACTGATTCCCTACCAATAATACCAAATTCTTCAATAATTCATCACTTTATTAACAGCACTTAAAGTAAATTATTATTATCATTATTAATATTAATTATTAGTTATTATTATCACTGTTATTGTTATTACTATTGTTAATTATTACTATAATCAATCATCATCAAATTAAGCGAGGATGATAACTTTTAATTTTTACTGCTAATAATTCTTTTGAAAAATACCAGCTACTTCTGTGATGATCGAATTGAAGATAAATATTCTAGGCTAGGCTTATTTAAAGCAATGGAATATGTCTGCTCCACATCGAATACAATTATGATGGAATCGTCATTTGCTATAAACTGTCATTTGCTGATAAGGAATAAAAAAAAGATAATTAAAAATAAGCTGCAAATTACAACTCATAGAAGCTAATGATTAGCTTAATATTGAATTGTTCTGAAAATTATGTATAAATATACAATTCCCATAGATCAGCGATCATTTCTGAACTGTGGTATGCATCAATCATTTCGTGATAAAATGACCACCTAAAGAAATTATCATGATTTTTTTCAAAGTCATTAAATTTAATCAAAGCTTATTTTTGTTTTAAAAGATAATAATAACTATTAATAATAACTATGATAATAATAACTACTATTATATAAAAAAAATAACTATTTTTTCATGCCTTTCTTCATGTCGCATTTACGACCATTCCTTTATTATTTGAAAGCATTTACAATTTTTAAGATAAGGCAAAAAAAAAAAAAAGTTCGAGAAAGAAAACAAAATAAATTGGAAGAAACAAAAACCAAACAGCTCATTTCAGAAATTAAAGAAATTTAAAAAAACTGAGAAATTAAAATTAAAAGCTAAAACAATCTTGAAAAAATTTTCAGTCACATTCTTTTTCAAGTTTGAACTTTGTCAATGATAAAAGAAATTTTTTTAATCTAATTCTTCGATGTGCTCCTCATTCATTCCTCTTTTTGTCTTTCAAGAATTACACATGTATCAACCAAAACGAAATTTGAATTGAATGACTACACCAATCTTTTCTTTGACATTTCAAATTAATTTAAATGAAATCCTGTGCTGCTTCTTTGCTATTTCCAGAATGTAAACATCATAAGCATCATTTACTATAAAATTTTGCACAAAAAAGTAAAACGAATACTTGAAATAGCACCGTTCTTCATAATATTGTCAGGAATAGCTGAGATGAGGAATAGTTCCATCTTTCTTCTCCAACGAGTAGATAAGGTTCCTTCCTTGCTAGCAATCTTCTAAAGTTGTATCACACGATGCATTCATTACTTCGGTAATTCATTTCATTTCTTTTAGCAGTTCTAAACAGAATTAGTCACATGATATGAGTCCGATACTGTAAGTTTGTTTTTGTGCAAGCATAATAGTAAATAAATATATGAAGATGGCTTGTTTATTTAGCGAAGAAAAACTATCAGCGATGGGAAAAGACCAATTTTAAACGACAAAAAGTGAAATTCAATTTAATTTTAAAGTCAAAAGTTAGACTCAAAAGAATGAATTACACACTAAATGACTAAATTAACATTCCATACTGGGAAAGAAGGGAGATGATATTATCAAAAAAAATTCTAAAGTTTCAAAGTAAAATTTCAAAATGAAAATTCTAAAGTAAAATTTCAAAATGAAAAGAATTGTTAAAGAATGTTAAGAATTCTGAGCTAGCAAAAGTAATGTCCCTGAAAAGAAGTCACATACAGTTAATGCAGTAATTAAAAAATGCATCAGGAAACATTATTCAACAAATTTTAACACAACAATAGTAAAATAATAGTTGAAGAAAATCGAAAATAGGTTAGCGGCAATTTCCCAAAACTGAATGAAATTCATAAATTATCTAACAAAATAAGTTTTAAAAGGAAATTTTGAATAACTAATATGAATGAATACATAATAAACATATAGTGGTACAAATATAAATCAAAACAATGAAAATCTGTGTAAACAAGATACTATTTAAATGATGATTTTAAAATGTTGACTGCAATTTTAGAACATTTAGCGGTTTGTATTGTTACGACGATCTTTTGAATATTTTCAACGACTAACTTCTCTTCAGGAATAGCTATTTCAAATTACATTATCTACAAAGCAATATAATATGCAGCCAAATAAAACAAATTAAGAAAAAAGTTGAAACGAATGAGTTTTAAATTAAAATAAAGACGATTGAGGAAATTTCTTTGGAATAAGTACACATAACTCATTGTAGTATATTATATGCTAAAAATTTTTCGCCTGAAATTTTGCATTCTTAACTGCAACGTATAAAATGCTTCAGACCATTCGGTTCAAACACTTCAATAGAACTGCGAAAAGATTCTGAAAATAAGAATGGAACAGTTGCAAGACAATTTGAAAGAGATGTCATATTTAGCTTTATTAAAGAATAAACTTTCATAATCATCAGCTTTTGTAGAGAGAATTATAATCCTTCGACAAACTAAAAAATTGAAAAAAAAGATCTCACCTAGAATGCAACTGAGCATATGCATTATTATTGTTTTGCTGAGAAAGGAAAGAGCACATTTTTCCAAGACAATCGTTCCATTTTTCAGCTGATTGATCATATTTCTGAAGATCTAACAATATCTGCACGAAATATTATCAAAATTTAACTTAAAAAGTAGAGATAATTCTAATTTAATGTTTATGAAGCAGAGATATTTTGACAAGATGAAATAACGCTTCAAACCAGTCAATTACCTAATCCAACTATCAGAGCATTTTGACAATTATTTAGATGAACTTAGACAATCAATTAACTCGATTAATATCCAGACAGATCCTATTTGGATTTTCTTACAGAAAATAGATCTCAATTTCACGCTCACATTATTGCGATATTTAATCTCAAGAAATCTATCTTCATCGTAATAGGATCGAACTAGATAGTACTTTGTCAGATTTCCTAAAGAAATTTAAGCCGATATTCCAGAATTTGAAATGAAACGCACAATTTCATCTGTTGTAAAACCATAGATAATGGAAATCAAATTCGAAAGTAAGCTCATGAATTCTGAACCCGGTAAAAAACACTGAGTGGTCACATCAACAAAAAAAGAACGTTGGAATAGAAGTATTTCTTCGAGACTTGCAGACTAAAAAAAAATCAATTAAAATTGTAATATTTGCAATAATTTCAACCCATTCTCTCTCTCTCTCTCTCTTCCTTTCAGCTACAGAGTAAATTATAGTTAAATTTCATAAATGTAAATTATACTTAAAGCGGTACTAATATCGGAGTGCCATAATGACTAGCAGTGATATGATCGCCAATATTTGGACGAAAAGTTCTTGATACTTCTTCCGTGCTTATATTTACTTATCTAATATTTAAAAGAAAAAGTCTCCTATTTCCTTGTTTAAACACTCGAAATTGAATAACATTAGATTAATTAAAAAGTATATAAAAACTAACTTTTGATAACTTATCAATAAAAATACTCCATGAGCGAGGTACAACATATATCCAGCAATGTAAACTATACGCATTCAGAAAATGAAGCATTTCTTGTAACAAACGTCTATCATTAAGCGTCACTAAATCACTACGCATCTGTTTGCTGCAAAACAAAAATGATGAGAAATATGAATATTATCATTTTAAATGTTTACAATATGGTAACGATAAAACTAAATTTATATGCAGAGGTTAAAATAGCATCAATATGGTTTCTAGATTATGTTTTTTTTTTTTCAACACTAAAACTTATTTTCAAAAATACTGAAACATTTATAATCAAAAGAAAACCCAGCAAATTTACTATCTCTCTTATTACTATAAGTATATTTTTCCCAGCGTGAAATCACGATTTTACAAATATAATAAACTCATACATGCATAGAAATACGCATGTGTCACACAATAAAAAAATCAAAAAAAAGTAAAATATACATATATAACTGAGTATAGAGATGAAATAAAAAGATTAATAATATTGTCACCCCGATAACTGGCTCTGTATATTTTACACAAGTTAATTGCAAATCAATAATTAATAATAATAATAAATAATCATGATACCAATGATCAAAATATAGAAATTGTGATAAGTAACCACAAACTTTAAAATTTGAGCAGTAGCGCCGAAAAGATAAAAAAATATCCGGAAAAAAAGATTGTAATAAAGCAGTATCTGTGGCGGAAAAACAAGTGATAACGGTGAATCGACATTAATATGGACTGATAATGCGTCCTGTCCATTTTTACTTTCAGTTGGTTCGAAATCGAAATCTGTAACTGTTTTTTAGTTATCCAAAAATAGCCGGAAAAAAGACCGATCTGTATTCAATTCACATATTTTCCTATTAAAATCATGCATTATTAAATTAGTCCCAGCACTCCACCGATCTAAAAAGCATGATTTTTCTGTTGCCTTTATTGATTACTACTAATATATAGCTCCAAACGTAACTCTCGTTTCCAATACATGACAATATTAAGTTCATAAATTATCCTGCAAATATATTTTAATCAGTATTTAATGTAATGACTTACCCGTGTTTAATTTATTATCTTGATTCATGTCTTTCATGACTAAATGTAATGATGTGAACATGTCATACTTCTCCAAAACAGGCCTAAAATTAGATAATCGAAATGCTTGGGTTTTAAAGAAAAAATTAATAAATTTTAAGAAAAAGATCAAATTAAATAGCCTAATCATCTAATAGAAATAGTAAAAAATTAACCTAAATCTGTGCCGATGCTTGTCAAAATGTAAAGTGGAGCAGTCTACTGCTTCTTCAAATAATATTTGCAATTTCTTTATTGATATATCTGAAGATTGTTAATGTTAAAATTAATTTTGGTCGTGTACCATATTTCCCTCCACACATTATCTAAATAGGGTAGATACATATTTTGCTCATTCTAAAACTGACGTCTTATGTATTTACCGCATTTTATGCTCATAACCATAATTAGAATTTGATGTATTAGCTTCTTCCTCTGCTAAGTGAAATGATGAACTATGCAAATCGATATAAGTTCAGTATAATCATTTGAATTCTCAGAGTTACGGAGAATCTTCACGAGAGTAATATTTATATACTGCTACATCTTCGTGCAACAAACATCTCACTACCAAATAAAATTATCAATAAAATCGTTATATAAATTTTGGGTCATTGCAACCATCGTTTTGTAAATTTAATCTTTTAAAGATATTTCAGAATGCTAGAAATAAAATAATATATTTTGACTAGAATTTAGTAACACCAGAGAATTATACTGAAGACCCAAACTGTTCTAATAATGCATTGCTATATCAAAATTACCTCGAATAGAACTAATTAGCATATCTCGAGATAATTCATAAAATGAAACTAGCCAATCGGAGCGTTGTAAAAGAAGAAAATTATGAAATGATCTGAAACTCAACTTAAAAAGCAGAAATAATAAAACCTGAAGACAGGTAGGAAAGAAATATCAAAATATGGATATTAGCAATAAAAACATTGGAAGAAAAATGTTTGATATAAGTTAAAAGTTACTCAAAATACTCATCCAAACCGAACTGTTTACGTAAAATTTGAACCAGATCTTTGCTTGCTTTTAGCCGAGCTTTCTTGACGTCACGTACAACTTCGTCAACCTCAAAAAATTCAATTTCGACAACAAGCAACATTTTCATAATACTTGGTTAGTTAGTTTCACAGATCAAAGAAATGATTACAAAAAATATTTAAAAACGAACACTCTTTCGTTTCCATTCCTCCAACTCTTCTTCTTCGCCAATACGTTCGTCATCAAATGTTGTAGTCTCACCTAAGAAAAAGAAATTCTTAAACCATTACTGCATGTTTGATTTAAACTTTGCAAATGACTGTAATATGTCAAAAATTTTTGTAATTCGATAACATTCTACTATAACTAATAGCTAAGTAAGATTAGCTACGATATTATTAATATCAGTAAGCAAGATGCAGAAGTTCTCGTTTATTCACCAAAATTTTTTTTAAGAGACAAATACTTTTTTACTGTAATCAGAACTAACTCTCTCATTATGCTGCACACTTAAAGCATATCGAAACAGACGAAACTTAGATCGAGTATTTCAACATTTCTATAGTGGTCAGGAATTAAAAGAAAAAAATGTCGGTGTAGATCAATTAAATAAACAGGAAACCACAGAGTTAAAAAAAAACATACTTTAAAAAATTTTACCTTTGATCATCTCAGCAATATTCAGATATATGCCACAATTCACAATATCTTCGAACGCTGGTTGTAACTGCGTTGGACATAAAGCTTCCACAATACAAAATCGATCGTCAAAACTGAAAACAACAAACTAAATTTTTATTAATTTTTTAAATTAAAGTCGGTTAATTTGCTGAGCATCTACATCGCATACTAAAGTAAAGTTCGGAACAAATTCAATATCCTAAATTTGTGTAATTGACAAAAATACATTTTGTTACATACTTGTTTAACTTATTGCTATTATCGCCAGGCACGATATCCGATTTCGTGAACATTTTAGAACTTTTAAGATCCCAAATCATAAACTGAAAGAAGAGATACATGAAAACAATGAAAATGAGAGAGTATAAATTAAAAGATCATTACTGTGAAAAAAAAAACTATATGTTAAACTACATTATTCCAATACGACTACTATATTATTCTTTGTTTTGAAATATGTCTAACGTCAAACAAAAATGTTTAATCGTAATGCCAATCTAATTCTTAACTATTAATTTCAGTCTATAAAAATGTATGAAATAATGAAATAAACATCATGGCAGTAATCCTGAATTTTCCCGTAACGTATCCACCAAAACAGTAGTTCGAAATATTGCTCCAATCCAGCTACTTCAAATTTCTGCAGCATATCACGGGTTGTGGGTGACACACATTTTCGTATTTGTTCTGATAGCATTGATAACACTTCACCACCCACAAGGTCGTTCTAAAATAAAAATAATGCAAACGATATCAGTTACCAATGTTATCAACAATGAACATTAATTGTCACTTGAATTAAATAAAGTCTACGTAAAAAAGACTATTTTTTCAAACAAATCAAGGATTTATTTAGCAAATGAAACCAAAGCGAAAGATAACAAGGCATATTTTTTTTAACTGAAAGATTAATTTCGCATTCCAGGAAAAAACGGCAGGCAAATGAACACTCACCAAATGACATAAATTCAAAGCGAGTGATAACAAGTCCTTGAAAAACAATACATTAAACAGTTACACTCTAAGAACAACCTAATAGCCATAAAAAATATCTAATGATTTAAGATTTCCCAAAATTCCGAAAAAAGATAATTTCATTAAAAGTCATGCTTCTGATATTTATTTATCCTTCCATATTCACTTTTTATTCCATTTCATATCATAGAGTTTAAATGTCCTATGATCTTGAATTTTCTTTGATTTATTTTTACTCCTACTATTATTATCTAATGTCTATAACTTCAAACTATTTGTAGTTTAATCCTTACTTTAATTATAACTTGTCACAAGTATTTTCAAGAAAGCAACCTGAAGAATACCTTGAAACATAATTGGTTTACTTTCTAATAACAAATGAAATATTTCCACAAACCTTAATCATAGTTGCAAGCACATCATTCAGCTGTTTCGTTATTTGCATATATGGACGCATGTATGTGGCAACTTCCGCAAGAGTTAATGATCTTTGATCGCTTCGATTTTCAAGTTCCAATTTAACTAGTAAAGGCATCACTTCCGAATTGAAAAACTCCTCAGCCGCGGATCCAACAGCGAGTGCTACTCGCCCACGTGATAACTCACAACATATATCTAAAAATAACATACAAATTTTCATACCATCTATTGAGATGAAAAAATTTTCATACCATTTAAGCATACAAAATAAAACCATAACTTCAAGTTAATTCAGTCATATAATCAATCACCATCCAGATACCAAAGAAAATTCTGAACAGAGTGGTTCATTAATATGAATATAATACAGGTTTTTTTCATACATAACTATATCTGGTCCTTAATGAAGGAATGCAACAGATCTATCTAACAGTATTAACTTTTCAAATGATAAATAAAAATAAATCAAATATACTTTTAATATTATGTCGAAGTTGAATTAATGTAGCAGCAAGAGGGAGACATGCGTCAGTATACAGCGCACTGCGCAAACAAGTATCTGAGCTTGGATTCACCGTCCACGTTACACTGTCACCCTCTTTGACAAATCGTATACTATTCCCTTGATAAGCCTATTACAATCATTTGTTAACCAGATTTTCGAAAAAAAATAAACAAAACTAATTTTAATAGTTCTACATTAATTTTCACCAGAACGGGACCACAACTAAGCATTGGACATGTTCGTGGAATAGAATTAGAGTAATCAGTTACTGAAACTTTTTTTCATTTATTCAGCAATCTCGTCATCGATAAAATTATTATTTGTTGAATTGCAAAATTCTTAACTTATTAGTCCTATTCTGATCTTAATTTTAAACACTAACCATATAAACGAGAAAGAGATCCTTCACCAAATGTTGTTCTTGTGACTGTAGCGTTAGCGATGAAAGATTAATATGTTCCATCTAAAAACTGAAACCGTTAGGACATTTGTTAAAATTCATAAACACTTTTCCAATTTCGAAAATTCTGAATTTAGTTTTTTCATATTTTTTTTCCGAAAATTCAAATTTTAGGGCAGGATTATTTGTGTGAATCCATAAAATTTGGAATACAAATTATACTGAGTTTAGTGAATCCACATAAATCGCCTTACTTCAAATTTGTATATAAATTCGAGTATAAAGTGCACACCAAAAAAGAAATATATAAAACTGAGTACTCCAATGATCTCTTCTACAGCAACAAACACAAAAATTAAAAAATTCTAAATGAATATGTTAAATACACAAAAAGTTATTCAAATATGTGGGTCAAAATTACAAATTTAATCGTACAATCAAAATCAGTTAAGCTGATTCTGCTTGAACCTGCAACAATACAATTAAAAGAAGAAAACGAAAAATGAAAAAAATACAGGTGTAAAGCAAGCATCTGGTTGTGATGAGCAATATTCACCGGGCAGACTGAACGAAGTGAACGGTAGAAGTTTCAATACTACAAAAATACCATTAGTAAGCAAATAATCACAAATAATTCTAAATGAAGAAGAATATATGCATGAACATGATGAACATTTTAGTATTTACGTGTCTTTGACTATTTAGTAATGTCTGAATCCAACAATATTATTTTAATATACTTTAGATCAGTGGTTTTATTGTACTCATCACAGTGATCGATTTATAAGTCAACGATTTAAGCGAATACTAGTCAATAATCAAGCAACTTAAACATCTCTCAAGTAGAAGAAAAAAAAGTATTCACTGGCTAATAAATATCAGGTTAAATAAAAAAATATCACACTTTGACCTTATTTGAACTTTTCAAAATTACATACAAATAAGTTCTAACATTGTTGTTTAATTATTCCTCTTCAAAAAAAAAAGGTCAACTACAAATCTATGCTCTTATGAAACGCACTAAACTAGAGCTTGATTCAGATTTAAGCAGCATATAAGGTGAGAAAAAACATACCAATTTGCTTCCGACACTTTTTCCACACCGCCTCATCCATATCAAATGAGCATCAATTAATGTCTGAAAAATTGAAGTTTTGAAGAGAAATAAAAATACAAACAAAAATTTGAGCACTTTACCAAATAAGCACAAGAAATCGAACCCAATAAAATAAAAATAATTTTTAAATTGTCTGAGATACGCATTTTCATGATAGCCTTATCTTTTTCGTTACATGAATAAGCCGATAATTGGAGCACAATATATTTGAAATTGAACTTTGTGTTCAGACTGTGTCGTTGGATTAGAATTGCTGCTCCGTGAGAAAGTGACGTATGAGTTTGTCGAATACGTGTTGATTTGCGTGGTATTTTGATGCATTTGTGTTATGGCAGATGAATGCAATACATATGCTTGACTTTCTATATTATTTTACTTGCTAGTTTTGAGATATTTTCAGTCACAAAAAAAGATACGTTATTTGCGTATTGCGTAATATTTAAAAAGTGTTACATAACTACGTCTCATCGATTGGATTTTTTACTTTTCTATCGATTTCTGCTCTTGTTGTCCTTCATGTCTATGCATGACGAAAATAAGAGAATGAAACTATGCGTAATACTGCATATTAGGCTAATCATATTAATGTAGCAATGTTGAGGAGTATTAACATATCAGTAGATTACAACTTTTAGGTCAATTTAGGAATATTCAGATGTTTCTAGAATGCTGCTACATTTGTATCAAATAATGCCTCTTTAAATTCGGCTGGCATAAAATAGAATACCTGTTATGGAAATAGTTAAATAATCATGGATCACAAAGCAAAAGAGAAAAAGAACATGGAACAAGTAGCAACATTGTTGAAATTATACAAAGAAAAGTTCAAATCAAATATTTTTTCTTACTATTATATCTAACTAGGAAAAAGGAAAAAGAAAGTAGGGAGGAATGTTTTAATTGGAAAGAGGACAAAAAATGATAAAAATTTTAGGAGGATGCATGGTAGTGAACTAATGCTGTGACTTGGGATAACCATCAAATTTTTTTTTTTTTCATATTTTTTGGAATTTACATTCATGTCTACTTTTATTTTTTGCAAAAAGAAATATGTTGAATTCTGTGTGGCGTTGATTTTTAATATTTCCGTCATTGGAGAGACGTTATGGGCCCTTTGCGTAATCTTCATAACTATTTCAATAACTTGTTGCGAACAATCTGTCTCAGCTGGGATTTAGTTTTTAGGTGACTTACATACAATGAATAGATAACTTTGCATGCAAGAGATTCTCTGAATCATTTTCGAACTTTTTCTGTACTGTTAATAGATATAACTCTTAGCGGTGGATTTTTTTTTTATTAGACTATTATAATAAGTCAAATTTGTTACACTGTTATAACTGTCATTTTCCGGTTTATTTGATCGCTTATCAAGTGTAGAGTAGCATAAATGCGGAAAAGTAATTGAACGAAGTGAAGAGATAGTGAAGATGTCAGTGGTCGAATGTGTGTTTCAAGTGATTGACTGAGCGTACGTCTTATCATCATTAAATTTCTTTCTTTTCCCCTATATAATGTTAATTATGTTTTCAGTACGCGCTAACAGCTTCGTCACCAGTGTGTGTCGTGTGTACTGTGTGCGTGCGAGTGTGTCTGAGTGAGTGTGCGCGTGTTACAAGTGTGAAATATATTCCTTTGAAAAGCGAAGTCAAAACGTGCAACCAGGCATCAGAAAAAGTTTTTTTGACGCATTGAACCATCCAGATCTTCCGTTTGAAAATATGACAATGATGACCGTTGCGGCTTTGCAAAAAGCCGGTGAAGCATTGCTGTCATCTGAAAAAATTGAAATACCACTTCTGGATCAGGTATTTTTTTTTTATGATATTAGCTCATGCTATAAGTTTCTTTATTTAAGCCTCTCCACTGTTGGTTTCTCGTCAATAATCATATCTCTACATTGTCTTCGTTCTTCATCATTCTCCTTTCATTACCTTCCTTCTTCGCTTCCTTAACTATAAAAATAATCACACTTTTAAGTTTTTACTAATGGTAAAATGAAGGAGATCATATGTTTATTTTCAGGTTGTGAATATAATGAATCAGTCAACAGGTGAAACTCAGCAGCTTGCATCAAAGATTCTTACAGAACTGAAGCAAAAGGATACATCATGGACACGTGTTGATGGTATTTTAGAGTACAGTCAATTAATGGAAACTAAATATTACGCATTACAAATACTTGAGTCGCTGATTGAAACTCGTTGGAAATCTTTACCACGTGAACAGTGCGAAGGTATGAAATATATATGATATGACATGTGGTGAAGTATCAGTGATTTGAAAGAAAGCTGTCATTCAGAAAGTTGAGAATTTTAGTCTTTTTGTAGAAGAGATAAGTCATGATGAGAGTAAAAGCTACTATGAGTGGAGTGTATTGGATGTTTAATCGAATTGCAATAGTAGGCGATAATATTGGAACATTGTGTGAATCGAAATTGTATCGAGATGAAATAATGGCATAAATAATCAGAATGAAATTGAGTTAAACTACTGTCAGATAAAATTTTGAATATGAAATTAAAATGAGCTGGGAATTTTGATATATCATTAAATTTGCAAGTATTTTAAAAGTGTAAGTGAAAATCTAATATTTATAGTATCATATTCTATCATGTCGCGTATTTAAGGCATAAAATCATTCATCGTTGAGTTGGTGATAAAGATCAGTAGTGAGGAAATTACAAGTCCGCAAATTAAAACCTATCTTCAGAAATTGAATTTGGTTCTCGTGCAGGTCAGGATTCCAACATATTTTTTCCTTCTTTAACAGTAATTTTATCATTTTTGTATTCATTTATCTAAACTTTCGTATTTCTAGATTGTCAAACAGGAGTGGCCGAAACACTGGCCAACTTTTATGGCCGACATCGTTGGTGCTAGCAAAGTCAACGATAATCTTTGCTTGAATAACATGATCATTTTGCGTTTGCTCAGGTGACGAAATTTATATTCATATTTTAGCACGAGAAACAAAATTGAGCAATAGAATGTTGAATTTGAAGTGCTAACAACAATATGGTTTTATGGTTGCATTCTGTTTTTATACTTCATTCTGATATCAGTATCGGAATGAAGTGATTTGCAGTATTATTCTTATTTTTGATTTGCACATTTTTTCTAGTTTCTTCAACATCTAAAATGATGCTACATGTTAAATCCGGAGTGCTGATAGTAATATGCATTTAAGGTTCACTTAAAATTAGCCATTTTCATTATTGCATCCTTTTGGTCAATAATTTCCTCAATCATTTCAGTGAAGAAGTATTTGATTTTGATGGTGAAATGACTCAGGCAAAAGCTTATCATCTCAAAAAGACATTTTGCAGCGAATTTCAGGCTGTCTTCAATCTGTGTTACACAGTCATGGTAATAGTTCCATTCAGTGAACATGAAAACTTAATTTCAGAAAAAATACGCGGAAATTTTTACTGCAAAAGTTTTTTTTCCAGGAGTCATCCGATAATGCACCATTAGTGGATGCAACATTGCATACATTACATCGCTTTATGAGTTGGATTCCTATTGGATATATTTTTGAGACAAGTTTAATTGATCTACTTACTAAAAAGGTATTTATTTCTATATATTCCCAAATTTAAAATAATTCAAAGGAAAAAAACTTTACATCGCCGCAACATTGCTATATGCGTTATATATTGCGTAACTTTCCGAAGTGGGACTCACGATATTCTTAACGCTGGTTGTTTCTCGATCACTGGAAGAATTTTACTTGAATTTTGCTTAATGTTCGGCAAAAGAAGTTTTAATTTTATTAAAAACCAGAACTTAACATCCTTTATTTCATGCTTTGATGCTTAGCTGTTGTTAATGAAGCAAAATTCATTATCAATAAAGTCAAATTTACGCACGACTCTGTGCCGATCTATCATTCCTCATATTGGATTTAAAATACTGCTTTATAGAGAATTGCAGTGATATAGAA